TGATCTCTTGCCCATTTGCAAAAGATCTCTCTCCCTACTTCCTATATATTTTGCTCTTTATTTATATTTTGGGTTTCTCATACAAGAGAAATTAGGCAATATTTAAGCTTGCTTGATTTACTTCATTTAACATTATGGTTTCAAGGCAAATCCACTTCCCTACAAATGACTCATTTGTCTTTATGGCCTAGGAGTCCTCTACTGTGTGAATACCACATTTTTAAAATCAGTTCATCTGTTGTTGGGCTTATCAGCTGCCTTCAGAATTTAGCTACTATGAATTGTACTGCTATAAACCTGGGTATGAATGTATCACTATATGTCTTTTGGGTATGCATCTAGCTGGGTCAAATGGAATTTCTAGGTTTAGTTTGTTTTTTAATATTTGGTCTTTTTTGGTACCAGGAACTGAACCTAGGTCCTCGAGCTTACTAGGCAGGTGCTCAGTGCCGAGCAGGTACATTCCCAGCCCTCTAGTTTTATTTTTTAAAGGAATCTCCATGTTGATTTCCACAGCAGTTGTACTAGTTTACAGTACCACCAACAATGTAGAAGGGTTCCTTTTTCCCTATAGTCTCTCCAGCATTTATTATTACTTGCTTTCTTGATGATGGCTGTCTTTCTGGGGTAAGACAGAATCTCAATGTTGTTTTAATTTGTATTTCTCGAATTCCAGAAATGCTGAACATTTCTTCATGTATTTATTGGCCATTTGTACTTCTTCTCTGGTGTGTTTATTCATTTCACTTACCCATGTTTTGACTGGGTCTTTTATTTTTTTTGGAGGGGGGTCTAATTTTTTGGAGGTCTGTGTACAGTCTAGATTATTAGTCCTCTGAGGAACACCTGGCAAATTTTTCCCCTTTCTATAGAATGTCTTTCACTGTTGGTTACTTCTTTTGCTGTGCAGAAGCTTTTTAATTTGATATGATCCCCATTTGTTGATTCCTGATACTATTTCCTGTGCAACTGGGGTTATGTTCATAAAGTCCTTGCCAACGCCTATAACAAGTTTTACCTATTTTAAGTAAGTGTTTCTGTCTTGACATTTAGTTCTTTGATCTATTTTGATTTTAGCTTAGTACATGGTGAAAGATATGGGTCTAAATTCAATCTTCTGCATGTGGATAGCCAGTTTTCCTAGCACCATTTATTAAAGAGGCTATCTTTCTTCCAGTGTATACTTAACTTTAACAGAAAAAGCACAAATTAAATGCAAATTAAGGCCTAATTATGATGAGACAATACCCAAAAATCCTTTCTTTACATAAAAGACCTGTGTAGTGACTAGAAGAGCCAGCCCTGAAATGAGACCTCAAGCCTGTATCACAGGAGTCACTTTTCTACTTTCAGAGCTGTGGCCAACCTACTGGATAGGTAAAAGATGCCTCACATCTCTGGCCTTTCATATCTTTCCAAATATATTCTTCACTGAAATATCTTTGAACATTGCTCTTTCAATGGAAGCTCTTTGGCGAATGAACCAATCCGAAACTGTATTACATAATTAGGCAGACAGCATATAAATTTTAAATAAGACAAAAATGTTATACTTGGTTGACCAATGAAAATTTGGTTTGGGTCCTAAATGTGACAAAACTATGGACTAGTGGTAGTAAACATATGTCATGCATGCCACAGCTAGCTGTTTGTTATCACTGAAAGCTCTAAAAGGTTCACCATCACTGCTATAGACTTTAGGATAATGGGCAGGAAAAAAAAACTGAAGTCAGTTCCCTGTTGCTAATATAGTAAGCTTTTTCCATTAATTTTTTTCTTTCTCCAAGTACAGGGGGTTGAACCCAAGGCCTTCACACTGAGCCACATCCCCAACCCTTTTTTGATCTTCTATTTTGAGACAAGGCCAATCCATTTTTACTCTCTGAGAGAGGGTCTCATTAAGTTGCCCATGTAAGATTTAAAGGTTACCATACTGCCTCAGCCTCCAAGTGTTGGTATTAGGTATGTCCCACTAGTTTCCATTAAATTTTAAGCAGCATAATCTAGAATTTACTTAATTGAAAAATACCGAATGCTAGAAATAGTACATAAAAGGTCATTTTTCTTCAGAAATATTTTCTAGGTGCTACACAGTATTCTGGGAAGAGTTTTAAGGATTTTATCCATGTCCAGGAAATTTGTTCTTTTTGCTGTCATTTTAGCAATGCCACATAGCTCTTCTCATTTTCTACCAATCTCTATCCTCACCTTCCTAAATGATTTTCTTTTACTGTTTTTTTTCCTAGAGCCCATCTGCTGTTACAAGATTCTTCTAAATACATCAAAATCATTTAAATTATTTTGTGTTAATAATATAGAAAAAAGGGCATGACTGAGAATAAATTTATAACAATATTAAAGGGTCTGTCTTAAAATCTTATTGTTTGTGATCTATTAATTATACAGTATGTGAATGGATCATCATAATCTGGATCAATTATGAAGTGTTAGGGCTAATGTGATCCATCTTTCTATTCACTGAACAAGTGGTTATATGCATATACAGTAATTGGTTATCTTATATATAATTAAACTGTCACTTAGAAGGCCTAGTCTTGCCTTTACAATGTTTCTGAAATTTCAGATCTTGAACAATATTGCTAAAACATATTGAGAAATAGCTATATTTACTAGTGTCACATTTGAATAGATAAATGCTGCTGCACCAGGACATTTCTCAATGCAGGCTGTAGAAAAGCATTTCTTACTGATTACATTACATATCAAGTCCTCCTGCCAGCAGTCAGGTTGAGTGAGACATGTTTTCATGGATAAATCAGGTTAGAAGGAACAAGGGCAGCATTTAAAAATGGGATATCAGTCACTGTGTATCTGTGTCTCTGCATCTCTTCCTGATCACATCCCCCTACCTACAGCAAAAGCTGCTCATCAATCTTGGCATTTTCTACTATTCTTCTTTGTTTTCCTATACAAAGCATCATATTCTTTCTCAACACTACTATCCATTAATTGGAGTTTGTTTTATTGGTTTATGGGGAAATAATATATAAATATTACGTGTAAAATGTATTTTTAAAGCACCACCTGTCCCTTTCAATCCAGCCATTTGTCACTGAGACAATGAGGTTCTCTCTACTTTCTAAGTGCACAAGTATGAATTATGAGATGAAAGCTCTTTCTAGCCTTGCACCTGTTCTTCTGAAATTGCCAACTAATTGTAGCTACTGATGATGGTGATGTTTGGAGACACCAATCTAAAGGACATATACTAAGGCAGGAGTAAGAGTGGCCTGATTCCTAAGAGGAACACTTGATGACTTGTAAGAATCCAAGGAGTCAATGCATCCTAAGAAGAAAGATAGAAATGGAAAAGCATTTTTAGCTTAGCACTATACAGGGCAATGCAAAATTAGTTCCAGAAGTGGGTCAAAAAGAAACCAAGCACAGCTACAAATATATTATTTTTATCATTCCAAGATACTGGAACTTTCCATTGAACTGCTATGTTAGTCACAGGAAAATGGGGGGAGGGCTGCTAGGCAATAGATCCTTAGAATGTTTACAGCACCTTCTCCCGTTCTCCCAATACTGGTTTTCAATACCTTCCATACCATTTCTCTAAGAGAAATAGATATCATATATATGAATTATGATTTATAAATAATTTCAGATAACAAACCTAAGATAGAAGCAATTTCAATTCATGTGAGCTTTGTGACTTTTTTAGAGGAAGATCAAATGTCCATGGTGGTCCAGTCAACAAATATTTATAGGTGTCCACCACATGCCCACCACTGTAAGGCATAATGAGCAGGCAGACACACTGCCTGTCCTCATTGAGCTTAGCAATAGTTACAAAAATTGTAAAAGCTCTCCTTCCCTTACATGACACAATATATACCTCAAATCAGTAATGTTTCAAATTTTTAGAAAGAAGGAAAATAAAATACACCCATTCCATTTTGTAGGTGAGAAAGCTAAGGCTGAATACTAAATGAACTCCCTGAGCCACAGGAATAGTGGGTCAGAACCAAACTCCTGACTTACACTTGAGTTACTCTGTATTACCTTTGTCTTTTGTATGGGTTCTATTTTTAGCTTTATTTTAGTCTATAAGAATATTTTAAATTCATACGTATTGGAGTTAGGGGTATAGCTTAGTAGTACAGTTCATACTTATCATGAGTGAAGCCAAAACACAAAAATATAAACAAAATAGTATAGGTATTGATTTCATTCTATAATCAGATTAGTATCTCTACTGGAAGAGGTGTTACAGTGCTATATAACCCCTGGCTCAAGTAAGGATTTTTATTTTTAAGGAACAGAAACACTTTTTTTTGTTTGTTTGTTTTTTTGAGACAGGGTTTTGCTATGTAGTTCAGGCTAGCCTTGAACTCATTATGTAGCCCAGGCTGGCCTGGAACTCATGAAGATCCTCCTGCCTCAGTCTCCCACGTGCTGGGATTACAGGCATGTGTCACCATGCCCAGCCAAAAATATTTCTATAGAAATACTTTTTATCAGATCTAAAATAGATATTTCACCCATATACTTAGCAGCATTATTTGCAACAGCTAAAAGGCAGAAACAATACAAATGTCCATTAATGAATGGATAATCCATTCAGAAAATGTGGTATATATTTACAATGGAATATTATTCAACTTTAAAAAGGAAGAGAACTCTGATACCTGCTGTAATATGCATGAACCTTGAGAACACTATGGTAGATGAAAGAAGCTCAGTTACAAAAGTGGACAAGTAATATATGACTCCACTTCTATGAGACACTAAAGAGAGTAAAATTCATAGAAACAGAAAGTAGACTTGTGGTTGCCAGGGGCTGAGAGTAGAAGCAAATAAATGGTTGTTTAGTAGGTATGAGATTTCAGTTTTACAAGATGAACAAGTTCTGGAGATTAGTCAACAATGTAAAAATGCTTGTCACTACTGAACTGTGCATTTAAAATGGTTAAGATGATAAATTTTATATGTATTTTCCACATCTCTTAAAGCCAAAAAAATTCTCTACTTACCTCATTATGCGATTATTATTTTATTATTATTTAAAACTTTCCTTAGGACTCAGTGATTGACAGGAACAGGTTCTCGTGGCACTACGAAGGGAAATCAAAAAGTTCTCTGTGATATTTTGTTAATCAACAGGAAATTTTAAAAAAATAAATTTTATGCCATTGTTCACAGGCTTTGAATTACTCTTAAATCAGAATTTGCCATTCTGTGTTCTGAGAATTACATTTAGGCAGTAAGAATAAAATGACTTCCTTGTTGGTAAAAACATTGCTACATTTTTTGTTTTTGTCTTTCTCTTGAAGGTCAAGAAGCAACATAAACAGATACCGTCCCGGCTATCTAATGCTACACATTTGAAACTAGAGTATATATGCTGTGGAGTAAAACCTCTGAACACATTCATATTTTGCATTTGTATTCAATTTTTAGATTTACCTGTATTTGCACTCTAATTCACTATTACAAATCTGTTTTTCACTAAAAGTCACAGGACATTCAGTTTGAAGCATCTGAAAAACTACTGGGTGTAAAGTAGGGTTGCAGATAAGTGCCACGGTAGATTACAGAGGATGACAGATTGCATCCTTCCCATTCTTGCTGACTGCTGTTGGAGAGGAGCTGGAACCATGAGTGGAGATGAGCTTTGGCCCCTTAAATCTCTCTGCTTTCATTACTTCAGTCACAGGTCTGGGAAGCCGGTTTTTTAATATTTTTCTCACAGAATATGCATATTTAACTTAGTGTGGTTGCTCCGGAATCACAGAAAGAAATGTATGGAGACACAGAAGTTGGGTAAAAAAAAAAGCCTTTAATCGCTAGTGAGGGGGACCGCCAGAAACTCGTCTGATCAATGTCCACCCCTTCCTTTGTTTTAACATTTTCTTTTATATCTTCTTTTAGTCATTACCTCATTTCTGGTGGTCTTAGTCAGTAAAATTTCTATTTCTCTTTTACAACTAGTTCCTGTTAATGGTTATAGTCACAGACATGCAACAAACAGATGGTGCCTAAAACACATACATTATAAACTACCCAAACATTTCTATTTTGCTTTTCTCCAGGTTAAATATCTACAGTTAGGTTACAGGTCAAAGGTTCAGTTAGCCATCACCTTAAACAATAAGTCACAGGAAAGGTAAATCTTAAAGGAACGGATTACTTACTCTACTTCAGCTACCTTAATAACTAACCTATAGTTTAAATTTTCTCTATCATGATTAACTGATGATATAAGTACTTAAAAGTTCACAATAGAAATAACATTTATAATTTTAAAATAGTCATCATTATATCTACTTTATAATCTTATATATCCGTGTCTATTTAATGCTATAACATGTGAAGGAACTAAGAATTATGACAGGAAACTTTGCAGATGCTGCACCTGATTAGAGACATGCAAGATGCTACCACCTAAACAGAACCGAAGAATCATTTTTAAGTTTCCCAGGCCATATTCCTCATAACGAAAACTATTGCAAGGGCAAAGGATCAGTTCAGTATGCATATGAAGACTCATTGTAAGATAATGTCCCCCTTCACTGCTCCAAGAGCATCTCTTGTGTACAACCTAAATCTGTTATTACCTCTCTCTCTTTACATCAGCTTCTTTTCATAAAACCCTTCCAGGGAACGAACTTTGACTTATTTGGTTTTGTACTCCCAGTGCCAGCACAGAGCCTAGCACACAGCAGATACTAAATGATTACTGAATGAATGAATCAAACCTTCGCCTGAAAACACATAGGTTAATATATTCATATGAGACAAACATTCAAGATAACAAAAGAAATGGGGCACAGAGGAACATTTTCCATTCACAGAGCTTTTCCTGATTTAAACAATGTCCGTCTACACTTCATATTGCAAACTAGAATGCCCTTAATATTGAATATGGCTATTACGCTGTTCAAGCCTGAAAGATGCAATGTGGCACTGTCACTTTTTGAAAGGAGAAGGTCCTTATGACAGTGTATCTTTGGGGGTGGGAAAATTTGAGTCTCTGCAAACTGATATAATGGAAATTAAACTTCAGTTTCTCTAAAGGGTAACATGAGTTTCTCTGTAAACCAGCTGGGTAATCTCAGATTTGCGGCAGTACAAGAAAAAAGACAATTTATTTTCAAAGGCAGAATGCAAAAACACAGGCTCAAATTGCAGCTGACATTGATGAGGTTTCTCCCCTCTCCCAGTTACACCATATTGAAATAAAGCAGTTTTGAAGAAAGGCCCAACTGCAATAGAACTATTTATTATTAATCTCCCTTGTTTGAACCCAATTAAGGTTTCTCCAGCAGTGCAGTAGAGTGAAATTCAAAGTCTGCTGCAAATACAAAAGCTTCCTCAAAAAAGTAAATGCTACCATTTGAAAGTATTTCTATGTTTAAATTAAAATAATGAAATAATGCTAAGAAAAGGTAAAGACAAAATAGTCTTCCCAGAACTTAATTTGCGGATTCTAGCCGTTTTGACACAGCAGTTAAAAAATGAGGAGTTTTTAAGTTGCAGAATTACTATATTTTCAAAAATCAAACCACCAAATTACCACTCCATGCAAAGTTCCAAGACTGAGAGTAAAACGTACAAATATCCTCACTGGCAAAAAACCAAATGAACGCTGGAGCATTCTGCGGTCTCCTCAACTCGAGTGCAGAGATTGCAGTGGGACGGGCTGATTTATTTGCTTGCAGCTTGGTCAGCACAAAACGGAAGGGACGTCTCGCTTGCTCATTTTCGTTTTTTCTAAACTAGAAGCGTGCATCCACCCCGCCTCAACCGCCAGATTGATAATCCGGGAAACAGTGCCACCTGCAAAGTGAGCGCCTGGAGCAGGGGGACAGCCCCCGAAGGGCCACTCCGCCCTCTCGGCAACGCTCCACTTCCTGTTGGGCTCACAGGCGTTCCCATGAAGCTCGGTTTTGTAGTTCCCAGCCCAGCTCATAAAGCCAGTCCTTCCTCCCAGTAACTTTTAATCATTCACGTGACGGACCACCTGACCTTTCCCAAACACTGTCCCGGAAAGGGGCCGAGGAGGGACCTCCACACCTCCCTGAAGTGGGCAGCCAAGCTCTGAGCTCGGGGATGACCTGAAAGCAAAAGGGAAGCGCAGTCCCGAGTTTCTAGCGGCTAAGACTATCGGGGAGGCAATGCAGTAACCAAACCTCCAGTCTGTCTCTGGGCTCTCTTTAGAAAAGGGCTCTCTTAAATATCTTTAAGTCTTTCGAAAGACACTGAACGGCGGCCTCCTGCATGGCAGGCCAGGAGGGCCAGGCGCTGTTTTCGGGCGTGGGTTACTATAGCGTTCACCCAGCAAAAGCATCACTGGCACGTCCGGCACCGGGGGCGGGACACGTAGCCACCTGCATTCTAAGCACCGCGACCTACAGCGCCCGGACTCAGGGCCCCGGGCGTTACTGACTGAGAGACCCGCGCTGACCCCAGCGCATCCGGGAACCATGGCAGGCGGTAGGCGGACCGGGCGGGGTGAGCAGGCTCTCAACCGGCGACCCAGTCTAGTCTGCAGGGCGCCAAGTCAGGAATTTTTTCCTGGGTCCAGATAGCGGGACCTCACCCCCACCCCCACCCCCACCCTGCTCAGCTCCTCCATTCCCCCGGTAGCCGCCCACCTCTTCCCCTGCCCACTGTAGCCCCTACGAAACCCCATGGAGGCCCCGCCCCTGCAGCGGAGGCCCCGCCTCAGACACGCCCCCTCCCTTTCCAGTCCCAGCACGCGTTGCGCGGCCCCGGCCGGAAGTCGGCAAGTTCCCGGGTGTGTGTCTGGGTCTGTGTCCGCCAGTGGCGCGCGGCCGCCGTCAACCTCTGGGGGTTTTCGTCTGAGTCCTCAACTGCTGTCACGACAGTCACCCCACGGAGCCACTTCTAGAAAGGAGTAGGCCCGGCCCTTCACCGGGGGGAGAAGATGTTGCCTCTGTCCATCAAGGATGATGAGTACAAACCACCCAAGTTCAATCTGTTCGGCAAGATCTCGGGCTGGTTTAGGTGCGGGGTGCTGTTTGTTGGGAAGGGGGTGTCGGGCAGGAAAGAAAGCCCAGACTAAGGATGGCGAGCGCCCCTGACGCACCCTCAGCTTTCTGCTATGGGGAAAGGAGCGTGTGGACTGGGAGGGTCTTGAAAGGGACACTCAGCTTCGAGGTCCCTGCACCCCTTTTACTCTACACCTCTTCCACATTTGTGTCATCTCCAGGTCTATCCTGTCGGACAAGACGTCTCGGAACCTGTTTTTCTTCCTGTGCCTGAATCTCTCTTTTGCTTTTGTGGAACTACTCTATGGCATCTGGAGCAACTGGTAACCGAAGGGGAAAGTGGTTGGGGCGGAAGCAGGAGTAGGGGAGACCAAGCCTTGTTTGGTTAGTGCCACGTAGCTCCTTACCGGGACGTTCAGGTCTTACCTTTGCCGCCACCTCTGCTACTGAGTTGCTTTTTCCTACCCGCACCAAATTGGCAAGACCACATTTCTCAAGATCCAAAGCCTATCATGTTACTGCCCACTTGTCCCTCATCTCTGAACCCTGCAAACCTTAGTTTTACCCATTTGGAATTGGGAAAAACCTGTTCCCAGGCTGTCTGTGGGGGAGTGGCATTTGGATTTCACCTTTAAGATTCTGAAAGGGAATATCTGAGGCGTTCAGCTTAATTTATTAAGTCTTTGAATGACCTTTGAAAAGATTTATAAAGGGATATCCTGGAAAGTGTATGTCATTCTCTTTTTAATGCTGAAATTTTATCATGCCTTCTGGTCTTGACTGCAGTAGAAAATCCTATATGGATTTCTAAAAGCATCTCTTGGCTTGGGTTTTGGTATCACCTTTGTTTTTTTTGTTGTTGCTGTTTGTCTTTTGGAAAGCACTTTGGGAGAAGAAAATTTACTCTATGGAAATGAAATTAGCATTATTCAGGTATTTGCTATTGAATATCTTGGTCTCATAAAATTGTTCTGTTGACAGTAAAATCATCACTTCTAAGTGCACTCTAGTTTTAGATCTTAAATCCACTTAAGAGTCTGATGAAAGTCAACACGCAGAATTTTATGTAAAGCTTCCAGGTGTTGTGAGGTTCTCTGAAATAGATATTGGACCCTAGACTAGGAAGCTGTGTCACTTATGCTTTATTTTCTATTAATTAAGTAGTCTGTTCTTTAGAGTCCATTTACAGAAAGAATTATTCTTTGATCTTTATCTCTGTTAATTTAATAATGACATTAGCTACTGTCACCAGGTTTTGTGTTATCTGTACTGTTAATTTGAAAAAGTGGGCTTATAAATTCAGCTGTCACTTAGTTTTATCAAATACTCAATAATCAACATATTATAACGGTTATTGGTTTATCACTGCTTGAGTGTAAAAGGCATATTTACACAATTAAATCTTGATATATTTAATAACTGTGTTGAATCCTCTGGTGTGTGTGTGTGTGTGTGTTTTAAGGATACTGCATCAGATTATTTTTTTAACCCTATAAAGTTGACATTCTTAATGTATTATACACGTTGAAAGCACCATAGTCTTAACTTGTATTTGAATAGGTGTACTTTAATCATGAGTATACAATATTTTGTGTTTTCCTCTTTCTAAATTATGCCATAATTTTGGCATATGTGCTGATTGTGGTTTACATTTGCACATTTTGCTACAGTTACTTTACATTGCAGTGCCTTACATTTCACTATGACCCTATATCAGCACAAATCACTTTATGAAATATCGTTTTCAAGGGATTCATATTTGAAGTGCTTAAAACACATCTTTCATGGAATGTTAAATATGTAGTGACTTTTGATATGTAAAGATCAATGAAGGAAAAGATTAAGGCCATTATTTTCACAGCCATTTGTCAAAGTACATTAGAACATAAGAAAAGCATTGCTGGTAGGTGACTTGATGTGCCCTTAGTTAATTTGCTCTTCTCTTGGATCTTGTTCTGCTCCCCTTAGGTGACTTCTGTACCCTTCTAGTTTATTCTTCCATTGTATTGTTGTCTCCTCCAGATTTGAAGTGTAGCTTTGGTGTCTTGTATACCTCGATCATTTAGCAAGTGTTCGTTTTCTTGTGCCCATGTATATTAACTAATACAACTGCAATCATTCACTCCCCAATATTATTTTTTATGAGTGGATGTGAAGTATAAACTTTTACATTGATGTTTGAGCATATTTAGAAATTACTCTAGCCTTTTCCTAATAATCTTCCTTTCTATGTTTTATTTAGATACCAAAATTTTCAGTTCTTTTGTTGACTGAACAATAATACCTTTTTTTATTTTTTATTTTGGTACCGGGGATCGAACTGGGGATCTTGCACCTGCGAGGCAAAAGGTGGAACCACTGAGCTAAATCCCTGAACCTGATCAATAATATCTTGATTTGTCTAGATTTTCTCTATGCTTATGGGTTCAATTTTAAGTTCCTTTATAAATTTCTCACCAAAACCCACTTTGGTTTTCATACTCATTTCTCTGTTTAACTTAAGTGAATAAAAATAAATTTCAAGTTGTTAAGAACACAAAGTATCAAAATTTTTCCTGATAGGGATTAAATATGAATAAAACACTTTTCACTAATAATGGCTCATAGAAGCAGTTGATACAGTTGCACAGCAAATATTCAGTTTTTCTAGTTTTCAGATCCTTCATTTTAACAGAAACACTCAATTACAATTGATTTACATTCTTCTTTTTTTTGAAGGCATGAGCTTTTGTCACTTTATTGTTAACCGCAACAATTGATTTATATTTTTAATGGTAAAAAGGACTCTTTGGTGGAATAATAGCTAAGTTATTTATGTATTTTTCCTCCATTAAATATCTATTCTCTTTCACCTTTCAGCTTGAATGTAAGGTTTGTTAAAATACAAATCTTTTGCTGTCTTATTTAAGCACCTCAATACATGGCACATGTGCTTAATATTTATCAACTGAATGAAAGAATGAAGGAAGAATGAATTTATGAAATTTATCAATACTAGACATGCTAACTACCTCATTAGGGGAAAAAACCCCAAAATATTAAACTTTCTGTCATTCTTAGGAGGAAAATGGTAGGAACATTATGTTTTTTTCCCTTTCTCCTATTATTCATTTCCTTCCAATATTATATTTTTCAGCCACTTATTTATTATTGAATAACTATTCAGTCACAAGGTAATATAAGAGTGTAGTTTTGAACCATTGAGGATTTATTTGCAATGTACAGGAAAACTCCAAAATGTTGCTTAAACAAGGTAATTAATACCTTCTATTTAAGATGGCAAGCCATTTCTTTCTTTTTTTTTTCTATTTTTTTGGTACCGGGGATTGAAGTCGGGACCTTACACTTGCGAGGCAGGCCGCGGAACCACTGAGCTAAATCCCTTGCCCCTGATAAGCCATTTCTTGCAGCACAGTATCTACAGTGTAGAGAAAAATACACAAAGGGTGTGCACATTGTCTTTTAAGGAGATTTATGTAGATGTTAACTGTACTTTCACCTCAACTTTAATGACATGATCATGCCTAGTTGCAAATGTGGTCTAGTCAAACATGTGGTCTGCTAAAAATCAAGGATTCTTTATTTAAGGAAGGGAGGAAATACGTGGATACCATAGGTTCTGGAAATCAAACTGGAGGAAGAGATCTAGCATCTTCTGTAGGTAGAAAATTGAGGCCTAGAGTTTTGTACTTTCCGAAGTAGCAGCAGGGGCTGTAGTAACTGTTACCTAAATTTTTCTGAACCACATTATAACTTTTTTTTCTAGTATCTTAAGAGTTTGCTTTTTCTAATTTTTTTTGTTTTATTTTACTTTACCATGTATTTAAAAAGTTTAATGTCAGTTGTATTGTTTACCACAGCTGTTGGAACCATTTTCCCTTAGAAACAGAAGAAACTCAATAACTCTAGAGGTGAATTTCTTTATATTAACAAAGTAAATATTTGTGCAAGAAATGTTTAAGGCAATACTGGGCATTTGGTCCTACTTCTATATAATATGTCATTATAATAAGCCTGTAAAATAAACTATTGGTAAAGAAAAATGCTTCCATTTAGAACACATTTTTCTTTTAGGTTAAAATTGTTTAGTCTTTTATCAGCTTTCTCTTCTCAAAAGACAGCATTAATGGGGCCAGGGATTTAGTTCAGTGGTTCTGCTGCCTACCTCGCAAGCGCAAGGATCTGAGTTTGATCCCTGGTACCAAAAAAAAAAAAAAGACAGCAGTACGTACCAGGTATGTTGATGGCTTCTGTTTTCCTGTAGTCTGTTATTTTTTACCTTACAAACTTAGATAAATATTTCATTTGCTGAATTATTTTATTTTATTTTATTTTATTTTTTGGTACCAAGGATTGAACTCAGGACCTTGCAAGGCAGGAGCGGTACCACTGAGCTAAATCCCCAGCCCTGCTGAGTAATTTTAAATAAGGGATTATATAATAGAGAGAAATTATTTCACTGCAGCTCATTAGTTTATTAGCATTACTACGTTAGGATCCTAAGGATTTTCTAGTTTCTTGATAATAAATTGATAATGGTTCCCCCCCCCTTTTTTTTTAACCATGTGGAACCAGCTAGTAAGGGGTTTGTGAATTATGATGATCTCTTGTATTTAATTTTGCATTGATGTTTAACAACCAAAATGGATATATAATTAACTTAGTTACCAATAGTCCTTTAAAAAATTTTTTTATCATGTAAAATTTTAAACATATATAAAAGTAAAGAATTTAATGGACCTCATGTACTTATCACCTGGGCTTAACCTTTAACAAGACATAGCCTATTTCCTTCTATTTGTTATCTCTGTCCCAGCATTGAATTGGTTTAAGCAGATGAAAGTTACCACTTTTTCTATAACTGCCTGGCACGGTAGCATATGCTTCTAATTCCAGCACTCTGGGAGGCTGAAGTGGGAGGATCACAAGTTTGAGCCCAGGCTGGGTAACTTAGCGACTTAGTGAAACGTAGACTGGACATAAAACTAAAAGTCTGGGGATGTTGCTCAATACAAAGGACCTGGGTTCAATCCCCAATACCACCAAAAAATAAATAAATGAATAAGTAAATAATTTCTATAACTACTTGGGATGAGTCTCAAAAAGGTAAGAGCTTCCCCTTTTTATCAGTATAACACCAAAACCATTATCAAATGGTGTTAATATCAAATGTCCAATCAGTTAGTAAGTGTTCACATGTCCCCATTGCTTTGATAAATTCTTCTTATATTTGGTTTTACAGATGAGAATTCAAGATTCATGCATAGTATTTGGTTGATATGTCAAAAATCATATAGGTCTCATAATTTATAGGTCCTCTTTC